GGATAGACAGCAGAATACATCAGTTACTAGAACGGCAATATGTAAATCAATGGAAGAGTAACTGATGTGATACAGCAATCTGTATATGGGGTAAAATTGGGAGTTCATAACCCACTTGAATCAAACTGTGAAATATGATATATTAAGAACTATGTAATGTTTTGAACGACCAACAATAAAAAAAAAAAGAAATGAGGCTGTACATAGTGAGGAGGCAGAGAAGGCCTGTGGCCACAGGAAAGTACCACTATCCATCTTGGGCCAGTGTTTGGCATCTGAAATCAGGGCTAGACTCAGTTTTAATCTGGGGAAACCCAGAGCCCCTGTGAGGACCGGCACACCTGAGATCAAAATCACATATCTTAAAGGCAGATCTAAATATCCAGGCTAGAGACACACCCCATTCCATCCACCAAAGGTTACTAGGATTTCCAGACCCCCATATCTATGCTTCTCACTAAATATCCTCCTTCCACTCCTGGCCTCCCTCCACTTCCCTGCCTCTGCACTCTCACTGTCTATTTCCCATCTGTCTCTTGGTGAGAAACTCGACAGCTGGCATGGAGACTCATCCAAAGGTGAAGAACACTAGGCTTAGAGAGACCAGTGCTGCCATAGTCAGACAAGCCCAAAGGCCCGAAAAAAGTCAGGATCTGGCTGGGGTGCATGTGGGGACCAGAAAGCATTTGAGATACTCACGCTGAGCCTGCTCTCAAACAAATGAGAGCCAACTGCTCCTTCTCCTGCTTGGCACCCAGAGTACCATGACTACAAGTGTGACATCAGAGAGGTTCTGGAATGGGGGCTCTGGCTGCTTCCAGTGCCCTCTGAGAGCAACCCTCCCCTGCCTTCACATACACACATGTAGACTGGAACATCCTGCACTTACAATGGTGGCTTCCTTGGAGCTGGTGAGGATGGGATGTGGTTTGTCCCTCAAAGGTTCATAGGCTGGAGGCTTGGTCCTGGGTGTGGCAGTGTTGAGCTGGAAGCACCTGCAAGAGGTGGGGCCTAGAGGGAAGTAATTGTGTCACTGGGGATGAGGCCCTTGGAAGGGAGTAATGAAATTCTCATGGGCCCCCACTAGTTCCTGTGAGAGAGGCTTGTTCTAAAAAGAACAAGACTCATCCTCCCCAGTTTCTGGCCATGAAGTCTCAACCCTTTGCATATCCTCCCACCATGATGCCATTCACCATTTTGTGAGCACTCTCACCAAAGGTTAGCCACAGGGACTGCCAAATGTTGGACTTGAGCTAAATAAACCTCCTCTCTTAATAAAGTACCTATTCTTGGGTAATTTGTTAGAGCCAGAGAAAGCGGGCTAATACAGAGACCATATAATATGGTTCCTGGGGAGAAGGCATGGGAAGAAGTTTGGTGATGGTTATCTACTCTCAGGCCCAGTGCTAATTGAACCAGGCAGTGCTGGTTGCTCAGCCTATCTCTATTTGTTTCGCTTTCTGTTAAGAGTGAGAAAGACATAGTATCACTGGGTAACAAGAAGGTGGGGAGGTGGTGGGCAATCTACACAACTAAATAACAAGAAAGTGTAGCAGAGGTGAGCAATCTACACAACCAAATAATCTCCCAGTTTCCCTTATTAACAGGGCAGGATTTATAATACAATTCTGTCTCAAAATAAAAAATAAAATATGTTGGGGTTGTGACTCAATGGTTAAGCAACCCTTATGATGATGACGATGATGATGACTTGTACATGATTATGGCATACAACATATCTTGAAACATATTCACTGAAGAATGGCTGAGTCAAGTTATTGAACATACACACTATTTCATTACTTATTTGTGATGAGAACCCTTAAGATCGATTCTCTGACTCATTTTCAAGTGTATATAACATTACCAACTGTAGTCATTCTGTTGTATGTTGTTAACTGTAGTCATTATATTGCATAGTAGACCCTTTAAACTCAACCCTCCCATCTAAGTGTAATTTGGTCTCCTGTGACCAGCACCTTAACAGTCCACAGCCCAAACACCCCTGGGCCCCTGGCAGTCATTATTCTGCTATTTCTTTTTTTGGATTTTTTAAATAAATTACTGCAGAATACATTACAATTATATTACACATACAGAGCTCAATTTTTATACCACTGGTTGTATATAAAGTATATTCACACCAATTCTTATCTTCATACATGTACTTTGGATAATGATGTCTATCACATTCCACCATCATTGCTAACCCCCTGCCTCTTTTCTTTCCATACCACTACTCTGCCTTATTTAGAGTTTGTCTATTCCTCCCATGCTCCCCCACCCCCATGCCACTATAAATCAGTCACCTTATATCAGAGAAAACATTTGGCATTTGTTTTTTGGGAATTGGCTTACATTACTTAGTATTATCTTCTCCAACTCAATCCATTTACTTCAAATGCCAAGATTTTATTCTCTTTTATTGCTGAGTAAAATTCAATTGTGTATAAGCCACATTTTTTTTGTCCATTCATCTACTGAAGGGCATCTAGATTGGTTCCACAGTTTAGCTATTGTGAATAATGTGGCTAACCTTGATCCTGGTGGAGAGTGCAGGACAGTATCCATGTGTCAAAATCCTTAACCATATATGAAAAAGGGTGAATTGTACTGTGTGTAAATTGTTCCTCGAGTAACAACTTAAAAAAAATTCCACCATTGCTCCCAGCTTTTTACTGCATCTAAACTGAATTCCACTCTTGACTTTCTGGACCTTTCTAATCCTGATCCCCAGGGGATCGACTTCACTGCCCCTGCCACCTTGGGCTTCAATTAGAGCCATATCCTCATCATTACTTTAACATTCTACTTTTGGGATTCTGTGTCTTTTAGCACTGATGTGTCACTCACAGGCCATGCCCCCCTGTCCTCTGCCTCTCCACAATCACACCTAGGATAGGGAGTGCGGTCTCACCACACTCTCAGCTCCTTTCACTTGGCTGCACCACTCAGGACCAACCCTGCTCACAGTGTTCCTGGGTGTCTCCGGTGTTATTGTGATTGCAGGTTGCTCATCAACACAAGTGTTCAATGTACTTACTCACCTCTCAACCCATCACTCAAATAACCCACAGCCTAGCACACCTAGCACACAGTAGGCTCTGGAAGCAATGAACCCAGGAGAGAGAAGGACCAGCGAGCTCCAAGTGGATGAGAGGTCTGAGCTGCATCTGAAGAAGTAGGTGTGGAAGGACTAATGAGGTCAAGGGAAGTGGAGAAAGCATAGAAAGTGGTGGGTGGCAGAAGTGCAACATTACTCTGCACAGCCAGGTATCCCGACATAGTCCCTGGGCCCCACTTATATGTCCCTCTGGGGCAGCTGGTGGTGCTCACAGCTACAGCCTGGATCAAAGCCCCAAAATG